CATAATCACGAATCTTATATCTAGATATCTAACAAATATTTATCGTCAAATTGTAAATGTTTGATGTAAACGTAAAGCTGTAGAAGATATGCATATACAACCGAAAAATGTAGTATTAAAGGAAATTGCTCATAATGACCACGCAGCAACAACATTTACTGTAAATGATATTAATAGGCTGAGAAAATATATATATAAAGCTCGTAAAAGTGTCCTCCCTCCTTATCCCACTAATATTAATGAAGTGCATACACTTATTGATATGGAAAAATAATTACTACTAGAGGAGAGTCTATTTTATTAATTAATGATAAAAATAAAAATGTATTGATTTTTTCTTGTTTTTTATTTGAGTTAAACAATCTATACAAATTATGTATAATAAGCTTAAGTGTTAACAAATTAAGATTATAGCCAGAAAAACATGAAGGAGAAGCCACCCACTGGTGACACTCCAGGTCAGAGTCGTAAGGTTAAATTATGAAAGTAGGTCGCGGCACCACTTTCTTTTCAATCTTTTGGGAGGGTTGCCAGGCATTGGATTGGTTAGATTTTTAGCTAGGATGTTAGGATGGTCGAAGAGCAAGTTGTGGTAACGAGAGTAAGTCTTGGTAGCGGTTTCTAACACTGTGTTCATTTTTAGGTCAGAGTGTAAAGTTTGATTGGATACATAGAAAGGAGCCTTTGTTATTAAACAAAACAATTTATTTTGGGTTATTTGAATTTTGTTTATATGTGACTTTTTTGCAGAGCCCCATATTTGGATGCCATACATCCAAATGGGTTTAAGGAGAGTTTTATATAAGTTTAGTTTAGTGTGAAGATTTTTTAATCAAATGTTCCCTTTACATGGATTTAAAAATGGACATTATATTCCGTTAGTATTTTGTTTGCTCATTGACAAATCGGTCAAAACTTATGAATTTGTGTTTACTATGATTGTTGAAAAGTATAATATACTTGGTTTTCTGTTTTCACCAGAAAAAGTTACCGTTGATTTTGAATTAGAAATTCATAAAGCTATAGAAAATGTCTGGCCGAATACAACAATAATTGGTGGAGAAATGTTCAAAAGTGTGGTTTAACTTCTTTCTATAAAGACGAATCTTCAGAAATTGGAAAGTGGATAAGGTATACATTTGGTTTGGTATTTTTAAATCCAGATGAAGTATCAAATTGTTTCGTTGAAGACCTACTATCTGACTGCCCAGTAAATGACAAATTAACAATTACTTTGACTATTTAACCGATACTTACATATCCGAAGACTGTTTATTTCCGCCGAGTATTTGGGCATCTAATACGTCGGAATTAATAAGAACAACCAACGCGTGTGAATCTTTTCATTCTTTTTTAACAAAAGTTTTTAATCATATTTCTCCACCAATAAGTGCCTGGTTAAGTGTTATAAATGAAATTCAAACCGAGGTCTACATAAATTTAAATAGTATTCATTTACAAAAGTGTCCCAAAGGCCAAAGATAAAAAAATTATAGATCGACAGAGACAAAATGAGGAAAAAATACAGCAATATAAGCAGAACAATTAATCGGTATGATTTTATTAAATCAATGTCATTTAACTATTCTATCTAATACTACAATACTAACAAATAGGTAATAATATTTTGACGATTTTTATTTTTGATAACAAATTACTTATATTATATAAAAATTATATTAATGTGCAGAAACACAATACATTTTTGGAGAGCAATAGAAGCCGCCTCCTCGTGGTACTCTCTGGGTAAGCCATCCTAAATGGCTTTATAAAAATGTATTATTATGTTAGATATAAATAATTTAAAGTAAGTGTTTGCCAAAATGTGTATTTTAAAAATGTGGCTGAAAAGTGCTATATAATATTCTTGGGCAAAAAGGGAAAGTAATTTTAAAATATTTGGGCGAAAAGAGACGTGTGCGAAAGCGAAGGTCATTTTTGGGCGAACGGGGTCTTGCCCTTGGCTTTAAGAACCCGTTATTAAATTGCAAAACCTAATTTAATTAAAATTTAGTTATATAAATCAATGTAATATTATCAATCAACTATACTTTTTCATCAACCATTGTGAACACCATTTTTTTTTTTTAAATTATTTATATAGCTTCTAGTACACAACTATTATAGCTCAACAATTATATAGTATACCGATATATAACAATATTACGAGATTATTTTAAATATCTAACATGATAAAAATAGTATAACATAACAAGATTGTTTGCACAATATAAAAGTGTATAGATAAAATACAGGGTGTATCTTATGTCATTGTACCCGGGTTTTTTTTTTACCGATTATGGATCGATAACATAGAATTTCGTTAAAACGAAAAAAAAAGTGTTTCTTTATTTTTAACAGGTAATTTTTTTATAACAATTTCAAATTTTTTAAATGCGCTGGTGTACCAATAGCAAAATCAACTTTATTTTTTCAAATGGTAACTACTATAATATTTTTTAATGGATTCCGGTAAAGATTTTTTTTCTGAAAATGTTGATAGTCAAATCATCAATTTTGTTTAACTAGTTAAACTAGTTTATTAACTATGGTCCTCTAAAGCTTATTAAAATATGTATTAATACTTTTAATTAACATAATTGGTATAGTTTTAATTTAAAAGTGCTAAATAATTTTTTCTTATAACTAACTTTAATAACTTGAAATTTGAACCTATATTGGTATAGGAATCGCATGCAAAGTTTAAATTCTTTAAGAATTATTTAATAATCGTGATTTAAAATAAATTATTTGCAAGATATTTAGATAAATAGTCAATCTCAATATAGTTATGAATTTCAACTCCTAAATTCATACTTTCCACACTTCAAAATATATTTAACCTATATGGTTCAAATTTCAAGTTTATCCCATAAAGAGCACCATGAAACATTTCACTTTTTTTTATTACACAATTTTTTTAACCACCATACGGCCAAACATACCTAAGACATTAATGTCAACAATCGAATACCATTATTACTTAAGCCATCTAATAAAGAATCCAAATTTATGATATTGAAAGAAAAGTAAGTCTGAAGTAATTAATTACGATACCTATGGTAACAAATTAAGATAATAATACTGATTTTGATGATTGTATATTAAAATAAAAATAATGAACTATGTTTGTTTTTTTTATTTTATTAGATTAGCGTTTAAACTATTTAATTGTATAAAAAGGTAGTTATAAGAAAAAAATATTTAGCTCTTGTAAACTAACCTATTCTAATTATTTCAATTAAAAGTATTAATGCATATTTTACTAAACTTGAGAGGACCATAGTTAATAAACTAGAGTACCAAAATTGATGATTTGACTATTAAAATCTTCAGAAAAAATAGCTTTACCGGAATCCATTAAAAATATAGTAGTTACCATTTGGAAAAATAAAGTTGATTTTGCTGTTGGTACACCTACGTGTTTAAACATTTGAAAATTATATATAAAAATATAATAATTGCCTGTTAAAAATAAAGAAACACGTCTTTTTTCGTTTTAACGAAATTCTATGTCATCCATCTTTATAATAGTCAAAAAAACTCATGACATAAAATACACCTTGTATAATACATAATATGAAAAGCTATTATAATATTATAATGGATTATGAGTGGTTTCGAAGAATTATCTATGGCAGTGGTCCATACTAGGATTGTAGAATGGGCCAAATGTAATTTTTGAAAATTATTTGATGGCCGCATACATCCTTAATGATTTTTTTAATAATTAAAAACATAAAAAATTATATATATATATATTGTTAGGAAAGGGTATTGTAGGAAAAAGTACATGAATGACACAAATGTTTTTCTTGGATTTATAATTATAATTTTAAATGTGATTTAATGTTGTTGCGATGTTGATGGACGGTACCTTTCTGTTTCTTTTATAATTTGGTTTATGTCTACGGTTGTATTAGATGTTGACAACCGCAGTAAATCGTCCAAATGCACATCACTCAAACGATTTCTGTATTTGTTTTTAATAAATGTTACCTTATTAAAAGTAGCCTCACATAAATATGTCCATCCAAAAATAGGTTAGACTACCTTTTATGTTTGATAAAAGGGAAGGGTATTGATGTTCCTAAAGTGTATTCCAAAATTAAATTTTATTATTTTTACCATTAAAAATATCTTTTAATGTTATGTCCTGCTGTAAGTCAATTAGGTAATTCACTTTTCAATAAACCAACATTACAATTCATAATATTAATTTCAAATATTTATTTTGTAGTTACTGCCCGTGGATTTGCCACGTTAAATTTTCTTGATGAATAATACAATGGATATTGATTTATTTTGGGTTTTCAATTTTATTCTTAATAAGAGTTGTTATTCTTATGCCCGGTTTCACCATCTAGAGTTAAAGTGCCAGTAACTGGTAACTCGGAGTTAGCAAGAAAAACGTATTTCACGACCTCAGGTTAGGTGATAACTTCAAGTTAATGAAAACCTTTACTCCCAGATCTTAACCCCCAATATTTCTGAGCGTTAAAAGCTAACTCTCATTACAATCACGGTTTACCGTGATATTGTTGAAATATACAATTAATATGTAGTATATGTAGTCAACCTTGTACAATTTAGTAACTCGTTATATACGAGCATAAGACTCATTCTCTTTACGGATGTAACATGACCTCGGTCGTGCATATATTATATAGGGCCTTTGATGTATGTAATATTCACTTGCACAGGCGTCGTCGTACAGAGCGTATACGATGTGTGTGTATACTGTATAGTCACAGTTTAATTGTCCAGTTGTACGTTATTATATATTATACTTATACATAATCATATTGTCGTGTTATTACTTATTACCTATATTAATACTAACATCATTAGTCCGTCAAGCTTCACTTTCAACAGATATAAACAACCATTGATAATGGGTGTTGTATATTATAATTTAAAAACGTGTTTTCATTTTTCTTGTGCCTTTAATCTGTGCTTTGAATGCTTTGATCAAAATTGAAAAGTGTCTGCTCATTTTTGTTTAATTCCATATATTGTGAATTATTTTTTTTTTGTTTTAATACGAAATTATGTACCGTAGAGTATTATTTGATGACGATAACGAGAATGATGACGAAGTTATTGCGATGCAACGGCGACCTAAAATTTAATACGAGAGGGTCAACTATCTCGTATGTACGATGACCATGATTTTATTAATCGATTTCGCCTTTCAAAAGCAACTTTTAATACAATCTTGAGATTAATTGAAAATTAAATATCTTTTCCTTCTACAAAGTAAGTAGACTTTAATTCCAGATAATAATTCCAGATACCTATTATTTATTTTGTTGTTTCAGAAACAGAGCAATATTACCACCAAGTAAATTGTTTATGATGTTGAGGTACCTCGCTACAGGTTCGTTTTTGTTGTGTGTTTCTGACTTCGCTGGAGTCAGTGAATCATCAGCCTGTCGTTACGTTCACCAAGTTTGCAGAGCCATAGCGAGGCAAAGGCTAAATTTCATTTCATTCCCAACTAATGACGTTGATGAAAAGAGGATAGTCAATGAATTTTACAGACTAAGTAGATTTTCAAGGGTAGTAGGAGCTGTTGATTGCACCCACATACAAATTCAGTCACCAGGTATGCATAACAATATAACATATAAATACTATTGCCATCTGCTATGTTCTGTTTTATTCAACCATTGTGTGTTATAATTTTTTAAGGTGGAGATAATGCAGACATTTTTAGAAACCAGAAAGGTTGGTTTTCTATCAATATCCAATGCGTCTGTAATCCATGGCTCAAAATTAAGGACATAGTGGCGCGATGGCCAGGATCATGCCACGATCAAATAATTTTTGATAACTCTAATGTTAAACATACATTTGAGACAGGAGTCATAAAAGGCTACATCTTAGGTGACGGTGGCTATGAAGTTAAGCCCTACCTTATGACTCCTATTCTCAATCCTACCACACGAAGCCAGCAATTGTATAATGAGAGCCACATCAGGACAAGAAATGTAATTGAAAGGTAAATATTGCTTAGATAGGAATGACGGGGTAGAATCTGTGGCTTGGGTCAATAAAGGTCATTTATAAAGGTAATTCCAGAATATTACATTATTGGCCTTTTTAAAATTGTAATGTAAATGTAAATGTCATAACATTTTAAATGTTTATTGTTTTAAATTAACGTCGATAAAAAAATGTAATTAAAATTGCATAAAAATAAATTGTGATAAATAAAGATAACTTCTCTATTAAATTGTTTTTAAATTATACTTTTAAAATAATTTTGTTCATTGCAATGTTGTAGATGTTTTGGTGTTATGAAAAGGAGATTCCCCGTTCTCAGTAAAGGATTAACAGTAGACTTGAAAAATACACAAGCAATAATAGTTGTATGTGCTGTTCTACATAATGTTTGTATTTAAATGCATGACAAACTTCCAGATGATGAGCTGATGGAAGAAAACAATAGAAATAATGATGTTAACCATAGAGATGATCACAATGTTATTTGGCAGGAACAAGGGGTAGGCAAGAGAGGGATAGGCTGGTGAATGATCACTTTGCCAATTTACAGTGAAAATAAATTAGAAAAGTACTTTATTTTGATTTTTAATATACTTTTATATATTTATATTATTTTAATAATAAACAATTATTTATTTAATAATAAAAATTACATTTGCAGTTGTTTTTGAAGAAGTTGTATCTCTAACTTCAATTTTGTCTCTTCCAAAAGTATGTTCCTCTTCCTCACTTCGTTTATTACAACCTCCTACTCTAGAAATTTCATCTGTAATGCCAGAAGCTGGTCTTTATGCTGCAGTAAATTTGTTGCATCAGCAGTACGAGTCTTCTTTTTTCCTGAAAACAAATGTGTCAAATGTCATTAATTTCATTTAAAAAATTATAACAGAATCTAACCTCGCAAAATTAGGATGTGAATGTTCTAAAGAAATACCAAAAAAGACTTATGAAAAAATTTTTAAATTACCTAAAAAGTAAAAACTGTAAAAATTGAAAAAAATAAGTTTAAAATGAATACCTATGTATATAGTTATGGTTTGATGAATTACTGTCTTGCATTTATGCAGTAAACCAAATCATAACAATAGCTCTTCAACAATAGTACGATATTATTTTTAAAAATTCAAAAATGATGTATAATATGAACAAAATGTAGTAAAACTAACAGAAAATGCAAAACTAAATACAGATATTCTGAATCAGGTATGCTTGAAATGAGTTTTTATGTAAGCTAGAATTGTATTGAATTAAAGGGAGAAAAATGCCAAAGTCATCAGCATCTTATTTCTATACTCTGTTCAAAATAAGATCGTGACCCGGCGGCGACCAGTTTTCGTCGGGCGGCGGTCAGACATATGGCCAGATGCCGTCCCCACTACAGCGACGCGTCGGACGCAGCCACGGAACAAAGCCACGCCCATACGCACAACTCGGCCGCCGGGTCACGATCTTATTTTGAACAGAGTATAGTTATCAATATTATGGAAATTATGTGTAATGTTAACTCACTGAAAAGGGTTCTGAGAGGTGTGCTAACTTTTGACTTTAGGTGTTGAGGAGTCACCACATTCCATTGACTGATAGTTGTATCTGAAATAAATCTTTACTATTACACTGCTATTAGCCTACTTTTAAAAATGCTATCTATGGGTAAATTATTGAATGAGAAATCAAAGAAAACTGTTGTAAACATACCTGGTTGAGTTGGTTCAGTAGTGATATTTGACTTGACAGTTACAACTTCATCGGGCATAACTGAAAAAAAAATATTTACATTTTATTTAAAAAAAATTCTTAAATAATTAAATCCTTACTATTAGGGCCAGTATTACAATAGTCGATTCCACTTAACCGACTAATAGCAGTTTATATTACAGACCAAATTTGATGGAGTCCGTTACATTTAACCGGAGATTGTAATGCTGGCCCTTAAATGTAATCTGATCTTACCAGTCACAATCCATGAATCACTATCGTTATTGTCAATCATTGCAAAATCGTCTGAAAAATCATTTGAGGCTGAAGGAAAATACAGGACATGATTAATATGATCTTACCATCTACTTCATCGTCATAGTTATAACCTGAATGAGGCATGACATCGATTTCACAGTCACAATCAAAAGTTGAAGGCATGCCTTCAACAGACAGTTGCAACATGTCCTTTACTTTTTGTTCAATATCATTCAATATCTTCAGATTATTGATTCGTTATTTCCACCGCCTGTCTCTAGTCGTTCCAGTCTTAAATTAAACAAAATCAAATTATCAATAATGAAGAGATATGAATCGTCAGAACTTAAATATTGATCACACTTACCTTATCGAAGCACTTTTTTTCCGCACAAGTTTTTTTATGTTTTTGTCCTTCAACTGCAGTTTGTGCTACGGAACTAATATCGCTAGGCTATTAAATTCCAAGGCCAGTTTCTTCCAGCAATCTTCTTTTTCTTTCCATATGACAGCATATGTTTTCTTATTTTCCAGAACATGTTTGTTGGCGGTAACTAATTCAACAAGCAGTTTCTCTTCCCTGCTACATAAATTGACGTTCCTCACCCTCTTCTTTACTTCATTCGAGTTACTAATATTTGTATTTTGTAATAAAATATTTTCGTCAAGTATCAGTGAACAAATTACAAAACACAATACACAAATAAATTTGAAAAGTGCGGTAATCTAACAATTTTATCAGGCTAATCAACACTGTTATCAGTGAATAATAAATGTTATCATTAAAGGCCTCCGTAACAGGCCAATTTATGGGCCAATCGAAAGCTAACCTCAGATTAACTAACTCTCACCTATAAACAAGTGGTGAAACATAACCCTGGTTCCTGGTTAACTCTTAGTTAACTAATCTAAACTTTAACTCCTACGTGGTGAAACCAGCCATTAGACCAGAATTAATTCCAACAATTGAAGGACAACCGTCTGTACATATGGAAATTAACTTTTGACAATCTATTTTATTTTTTTCAAAAAATGTAGAAATTGTTTCAAAATAATCCACTCCACGAGTTTGGCTTTTCATCGGTATGACTTTCAAAAAGTCTTCTTTAATAATATTATCTTTTGAACAAAATCTAACAAAAAGTATTAATTGAGAAGTAGAGCTTATATCTACTGACGAATCTAATGCTAAAGAAAAAAAACGACAATCTGTTAATTCGTTGATCACTGAATCGAATACTTGATTTCCAAGATGTTCGATAATACGAACACATGTAGCATGAGATAACTGCAGACTTGAAATTTGGTCATGTATTTCTTTAAAGTTGGAAAAATTACAAAACAATGTATTTACAACTGTTTCCATACATTTTTTTTATTAGTTGAGCATCCGAAAATGGTTTCATGCGTTTGGCTAACATATGTGTTACTTCATACGATGCTTTTGTTGCTAGTTCATTTTTATTAGTGAACCATAACATTGATTGTTTTTCAGAAAAAAATTCCTTTTTTAATTCAATTAGTTTTTCTTCTCTTATTTTAGATGGGTGTGGATAATTTTTAGAAAATTCAGTACCGGTAAGTTGTGTAATGACGATTAATATTATACAATTTTGGAATATTTTATGGTTTTACGACAAATTAAACATAAAGCATCATGATTCTTACCAGAAATACAGAAAAATTCGATATCCCAACTGTCTTGAAATATTCTGTGTTCATCTTCGATTTTACGTTTTGCCATGATAAAGAATTAAAATTAACAGCTTACTCGCAGAAACTAGAATACACGATTCTAGAAGCACAGAATTACATATTATAAAGACAATACGGGATAAAATACAAACGGACAATAAACGATAACGGATAAACTGTTCATACAAGACTACGCTGTGGAAATTAATGAACTCATAATCGTAGCCCGTAGGTGCCTACTTATCTGTCCAACTGGTAAATCAATACAAGTTTAAAATAGAAAGATAAAATAAATAAAAATAATAAGATAATAAGCGACATTCATTTTATTCACTGTTTATAGAATTTTGGATTTTAGAATGAACAATTTAATTTTAGTACTAAAGTTACTGAAGGGCCTCGTAGTAGTGATAGCTGATCTATGGATATAATTGTTTGTGTAAGACCTCGGTTAGAAGGGAGATAGGGGGCCAATAATCGATTTTATATTATATAAATAAATTGAGATAACGTTGTTGAAACGATGTCTATACCCTCCGCGGAATAAGAAGATGATTGCGTGGAGGACCGTTTTGCGTCCGTTTCGCACAGCCGGTTTTTGATTGATTCCCCGAAACCCCAGGAAGGGGTCGCAAAGACAAGCGGTGCGTGGAGGAAGTTGTTTTGACCAGTCATCTTCTTATTCCACGGAGGGTATAGTGGGGAGTTATCTGGAACCACGGCTTCAGAATAACGTTTGGGCTGAGGTTGAGCATTAATTTCTTTGGCCCCGTTGGACGGAGCCTTTGGAGGTGTTTTTCGAATATGCGTTGTGTTGGAACTCGGTAGTGGTTTCAGACAGTTTGAACAGTTTGTATGACGGATATCTTTTAAAATTGGCAGTGTGTGCTCCGAGGTATAGGGCAAACTTGGCCGGTTGTTCGCTCGGCTTACTGCAATCTGAGATGAGGTGATCTAAGCTACATTTGACGCAGAAGGGTGTATGTAAGCAATACATAAACATGTGTCCGTATAACTGGCACCGCTTGCATTGTGGGTGGAGTCGAGCTTTTCTTGTTCTCGGTCTTTCAATTATGATTTTGAAATTCAATAGTTTTGTAAAATTAAATATGTTCCTATTGTAGACGTTGTTTTTACAATGTTTTATATTGCCATTTTCAAGTATGATTGAAGCATTCATTGGTTTAATTTGGTCCTCAATGACATTAACTTCAAGTAAAGTGGTTGCAACAGTTTCTTTTTTGAAATCAAACATTATAGGCCGGCAAAAAAGGGTGTAGACGAAGTACGGTTATTTTTCCAAAGAACAACTTTTTAATTTTGACTGTGTAGCAATGCAACTCAAGAGGAACAATAGAGAAAATAAAAAGATCACTATCATTGCAAATATTTAGATATTCATAAATTTGTTTTTAAGGTGCGTACACACTAGCGTTACGAAACGGTGAACTTGTAACATGTAACAGTTTGACAAAATGTTACAACAGAAATTTAAGTTGAAACATGTACAATGTACATGTAACATTTCAATTTTTCTATTAAAAAGGCCAGTGTTACTTATACAGTGTCCGAATATAGACACTAATCATGTCGCTCCAAATAGCTACTTCTGAGTACATTTATATTCATCTCGCTCTGAAGAAAAGAGTAAAAGATGAAGACGATAGTGGACGACGCATTTATATACTCGACGTGAAGAGACAGGAGGAAACACTTTATTACAAGATTTAAGGATACAAGAAATAAATGGACAATTTCAAAATTTTATGAGAATGACATCAACAGATTTTGATTTTCTTATAAATTTGATTGAGCTTAAAATTGTTAAAAGTGAAACAATTTGAAGAGAACCGATTTCAGTGCTGGAAAGGCTAGCAGTAACCCTGAGATTTCTAGTAACTGGTGAATCATTCACAAGCTTACAATATTTATTCAGAATTTCCAAACAAGTTATAAGCAACATAGTTCCTGAAGTGTGTGAAGCAATTATTGATGTTTTATAAGATAACATTCAGGTAAAAATGTTATATTAAAATTACAATAAATTTGCATGAAATATAGCTACATAAAAATAAAATAAATAAACAAAAAAAACCATTTTTAGACTTAAATAAAAATTAACAAAATAATATTGAAAGTTAAAAAATAAATATAATCACATAATATTATATAATGTCTCTAAAATCCAATTCTTCGGAAGTCTACGTATTTACAGGTGATGGATATGGTGTAGATGTCAGTAATTTTAGCTGGTGATGTTTGTGGTACTGGAAAAGATGTAATATTAGTCTCAAGAGTTGGAAATGTGTGTGGAGTGAAGAATAATGTATGTTTGTCGGATAACTTTGGAGATTATAATTATAATTGTAAGTTGATGGATAAGAATAATGGTAGCTGTTATTTTGATAAGTTGATGTTAGTTGTTAATTAAAATATCCATAATCTGCTTTGAATAAAATATTTGACATTCCATATTGCACAATACTTCTTAATTGTCGGTTGTATGTTTTTAATTTCTTTCCATCAAACTGTCCAAATGATTGACTTTCAGTATTTCCAGCTGAGGCCATGCCTCCGATTCTAGAATTTTAAAAGCTTTATCTAATTCACTATTATCTTCGTTGATAATTTATAAAAAACCACAAACATTCAGACTTTTTTCAGTTATTCACTTATATCTCGTAAACTAACCATATGTTGTGGTCTATAGGTCTTAACAAAGTTGTAGAATACTAAATTTTCTAAAATATGGTTGATAAAACTTATTTTTAGACCAAAAATTAACCGAGATACAGCCAATAAAAATTAGAAAAAGTTTCTAAAAATTAAAAAAAATAGCTTAAAAACGAAGGTAAAAAAAAATTAAATTTTTTAAAAAAACCACCCTTAGAAATATTATCACAATTCAATTTCATAATAGGTATTTTTACTCTAGAACCAAAATTGAGCGAGTTATACTCAGACTGCCTAAACGCGTTTTGTCTATGTCGTACGTGTGTAAGACGGAGACAACACATGCGGGTGAGACGTCCTCTTAATTTCGTATTTTTGGGCCTTTTGATCAACCAACATGTATTCCTGTTAACCTTTAGACGTGAACTTCAATAAACGCAGATTAAGTAGTTTAATGACAAAGTTTAGTACTCAAGAATTAAAGTGATAAAAGTATAAAATGTATTTAAATAAAAGCATAATATTACTAGGAAAACATTGCTGGTTTTATGTACAAAGGTAGAAATAATTTAAAAAATGTAATACATATGATTATGCATCAGGCCACTAAAACCTTGGAGCGTTATGGAGCTGCCGGGCCTTCGTCTTATTCTTCGTTGTTTTCGTTGTCGGTGTCCATGGACACCTCTTCCTCGTGCACCTTTGGTGCAGGTATAATGTGCAGGTAACTGCGACCCTCGTCATCGGTGTCAACTTCGTTCGTATCAGTCTGAAAGGAGTTTTCACATGCTGTACCCACGCAGTGCTTGCATACTGCAGAGCATAACAGACCAGCCTTCTTAAAGCCGCAGCCTGCAGTAGAACAACCAGTCGTGCACTTACAGCTAATTATGTGGAGTAGCTGTTCTGGGGCAGCATCCATTGTTGTGGTGATGGGAACGACACCTGTAAACAAATTAATTAATATACGTGCATTGAACGTTATTACAATAATGAATAGTAATATGATATCGTGTAACAAGTTTTAAGAATTAAAATGTGCTACTAAAGTAAGAAAAAGCTATTGATAAAGTGTATATAAATACCCACCTCGTTTGGTATGTTTCCATCCCCATGCAGAAGGCAATTTCTGATGGATATCTTGGCTTCCCATCCACGCCTGGACTTGGAAGTACGTCCCGAGAGAGTGGTACTTGGCGGCATCTCTGGTTGGTGGCAGTCTGGCAAGTTGACATTTTGGCTTTGCCAAGACTGTGGAAAAAATGCGATACCTCAGGTCTTCGAGGTTATCAAGTTCGATGGTCCCTCCATATAGTTTCACAAGAAATTTCTCTCCAATGTCAGAAATTTGAGGTTGAGTTGCTTCCGGGTCTTTAAAACTTACCAACATATCTGAAAGGCTAGGGTTTTTCATATACACCTGCATCACCTTCTTCTTTCCAATACCAAAGGGTGCTGAGGTAGTGTCACACCCACTTATCGCGTGCAGGAAAAGAATATCTCGTGATTCGTACTAAAACGAGTGGGCTGAATACAGCATGGTTTTTCTGTCACCTTTTCCACTCTTCTGGAAGTAAACATTCATCTTGGAAGAACCCAAAGCGGTGAGTATCACCAGAATGTCTTCCCCTGTTATAACGACACCATCATACTTCTGATGTAATCATTACCATCATTACATCGGCGTCTTCTACTGCCTGCTTCACTTGTATCCTTTTGGCTTCTATTTCACTCTTCAGCATTGTTATAAAGTTCATCTTGTTTGAACCATTGGAAAGAAATTTTTCCTGAGAAATTGTGCCGATCGAAGTAGTCTTAGAAAATAAATGTTTTGTTGAAGAGTGTAGCAACGAACGCCGATATTTTTCAGCTGATTTGGTACTTTGGTAGCTTATTCCAACAGGATAACCATCAAAAACCACTATGGTATTACTCCCAAAGTGCCTGTTCTAATGCGATGGCTGAATTGAGGAAATTATTAAAATCAGATGTTTCATCGAGTGAATCTGAGGGTGATTTATCAAAAACTGATATTAAAACTAACGACTTCGATTTTTGGGCCCATCATAAAAATTTGGCTCATGGCCAAAAAAAGGAAAAGCTTACGACATATGTATTAACTGTTTCACTAAACGATTAATTATCCTTATATTTATCAAACCCAGTTTTTCCACTGAAATCAGATCCATTAGAGCAATGGGAAGATATGAAAAATGTTTTACAAATGTTATACAAACAAGCTCGATATCACTTCACTATGGTTGCAACGTCTATCCCACGTGAGAGACTATATTCTCAAAAGCCGGGGCAACAATAACCAAAGCCAGAAATCGGTTATCAAGCTCTCGACTTTAGAAATTGTTGCTTCTAGCTGACCTACCTGAAAAGGAATGGATAATTATATAATTTATGTATACGTTTTATGATATTATTATTTAATATGCAATATAATGCAATACAAGAAGGATAATTAAATTAAGAATAATTATAACGATTTTCCATTGCTATGCATTTTTTTTCATGCGATACTTACTCATATCGATAAAATTGTTTCGATATTTTATTAATATCGATATTTGTTTTCGATACTAGTACCAAGTAAAAGTATCGATACTTCCTTTCGATACCCTACCCCTAGGTGAGGGTAAAATACTAGGACACCGAGGTGCGGGTGGTGTTGCCAACGTCGGGAAGGTGTGACCGGTGGGGAGAGTATTGTGATGAAGCCACTGGTTCACCACAATCTGATAATCAGTTATCTGTCTTTCGTGTCATCAAGAAATAAACACTACACGCCTTTAGAACAAAGCAAACGTTTGTTTGATATTTGGAAAAAAAGTGTTCTTCAATCTAATATTTTGATAAATGACACTGTTAGTATTTCTATAAGTCCACTTGATGAAGAAAATGATAGAAGCAATTATTTGGCATTTATTTTCATGTTGATTGTATACCTAAAAAACATCAAAAAGAATTTAATTTAAATTATGTTGATGATGAAGTAAACTTCATCTGTCACTTGTGCATTACTGATGACAAGGATTGCATATCAGATGTGGAAGAATTAGAGTCTGAAGAAGAAGAGTCTGATGATAATTAAATGTAATCAAGTTATTAGTATTCTATTATTTTTCAGAGTTCCTAAGATGTGAATTTACCAGTTATTACTTAATTTCTGTTATTTGTTATTATATTATTTACTAAAAAGTTACAAGTATATTTTGTTTTTTATTGTTAATACATAATTTTTATAAACCTATTTCAAGTTGTATAATTTTCAGATAAATATTATTAGTTATTAGTATTCTATTATTTTTCAGAGTTCCTAAAATGTGAACTTACCAGACTTAATTTCTGTTATTTGTTATTATATTATTTACTAAACAGTTAAAAGAATATTTTGTTTTCTAATGTTAATACCTAATTTTTAAATATTTGACTGACATTTTTTTGTTTTAATATATTAATATTTGATTTCCTATAGGTAGGTAATAATATGTTATTACTTATGTTTCATAGAAAATAATTAATAATTTTCATGTTGATTACTTTTTTTTAATACCTAAGTATATGTTTATTTAT